TTTGACACTTAACTATTGTGTATGTCCAATAATTCCTCAAATTCCCTAGAAGGAACAAATTTCTCTAATAAATATCTGTGTTATAAAATCTAATGGTAGCTCAAAAGGGGTGAGATGAGGTGCTGTCGAGGAGTGGTTTGGGTAGTGTTTTTATTTGCACCTCCTCTCCCCTCCTCCCTTTTAAAAAGAAAGCAGGCATTCTTAGAGGAAACCAATTAGCCTTCCTTCCAGGTCCCCCTCCTACCCCAACCTTAGGTTACTGTTGATCTTATTGATCTAGTTGTCGATTCTGAACGTCATGAGCAGGTGGTGCTTTGGGTGGCTTCTTTTACTTAGCACTGTGTTTTCAAAGTTCTGCTTTGTCGCAACATCCTACATTTCTTTCCTTTTTATTTATTTATTTTTCTTTTTTCTTGTCAAATACTACTGCACTATTTAGCTACATTATATTACAATACATTCATCAGATTTGGGGTATTGTTTTTTGTTGGTGGTGGAACAATGGTATGAGATTTTGTAAGTTATTATGCAAACACATGCTTTCATTTCCTTGGTGTGTAGTATGTTCCTAGGGATAGAATTGGGTCCCAGAATAATTCCCGGCCCCAATTCTTGAGAAACTACCAAACTTTCCTGGGTAGCTGTGGCACCGTGTATCCTAACTAGCAGTGAATCCAGATTCCACCCGCTCTACTTGTGCACCAGGGCTTCTATTCTGCCTTTTGATGTGGCAGGTATAGTGTGTATGAGGTGGTACCTCATCATCCTCTCTATTTGGGCTTCCTTAATGATCCGTGACACATGGCATATGAACATATATGTCTTAGTTAGGGTTTCATTGCTGTGAAGAGACACCAAGACCAAGGCAACTCTTATAAAGGACATTTAATTGGGGCTGGCTTACAGTTTCAGAGGTTCAGTCCATTATCATCATGGCGGGAAGCATGGCAGCATGCAGGCAGTCATGGTGCTGGAGAAGGAGCTGAGAGTTCTACGTCTTGATCCAAAGGCAGCTATGAGGAGTCTACCTTCTGCAGCCAGCCAGGAGGAGACTGGAATTCTACCCTGGGTGGCGCTTAAGCCTAGGAGACCTCAAAGCCCACCTCCATGGTGACACATCCCCTCCAACATGGCCACACTTACTCCAGAAGGCCACACCTCCTAGCAGTGCCATTCGGTATGGGCCAAGCATTCAAACACCTGAGTCTGTGGGGGCCATACCTATTCAAACCACCACAGCGTAAAAATGTCCATGTCTGTATCTTTTTTTTTTTTTTTTTTTTTTAAGAAATGCCTATTGAAATACTTACTTATCTTAAGCTGGGATGTTTGCTTTCTTATTGAGTTGTATCACTGATGTATTCTGAACGCAGATTCTTGATGAGGTAAGTGACTAACAGCTATTTCATCCCAGCATTATGAACTCCTTTTTCACACTGTTCATGTTGGAGAATGACAAGCTCTTAAGCTTTGATAGGATCCAAGATTTGTCTTCCTTTTGTTGCTATAGCATCACACTGCTGCCTAGTCCTTAGGACACCGAGGTTCATTTCTGCCTTGTCCTCAGAGAGTTGTAGTTTTACCTCTGACCTTTAGGTCTGTGATCTAGCTTGAGTTAGCTGGGTTTTGTTGGAGGGCATGGCCCGAGGCAGAAGATAGCCAATTATTCCAACGCTGTTTGCTGAAGACTGTTCTTCCCCCATTAAGTATTCTTGGCATTTTCGCTTTAAATAAGCAACAAATGATTTATTTCTGGACTCTCCATCATAATTCATTGATAGAATTATCTGTCCTCACGCCAATACCACATTGTTTTGATTATTGCAGTTAGCTAAAATGTTTGGAAATCAGAAAGCATGAGTTCTCCAACTTCATTTGAAATATTGTTTTGACTCTTGTGAGTCCCTTATATTTCCATATGAATTTTAAAATCAATTTGTAATGTTTGGAAAGACAAATCTTTGGGGGACATTGATAGTTATTACCTTAAATCTACAGATTACTTGGTATCTTCCCTTCCTGTTATTCAGTCTTCCAGTGCTTTGGCTGGAGCGTGGTGGTAGCCTACTTGCCTCACATACACAAGCTCCTAGATAAAGCCCCCCACAAAATAAAACCCTTCTGATCTGTGAACATACATCTTTTAATTTACTTAGATCTTCCTTACTATGTCTCAACAACATGTCATAGCCTTTAGTGTGAAGAACTTCTAGATGGTGCCTTAAATTTACTCAGAAATATTTCATTGTTTTTGAGTGGCACATGCACACTTTCCTGTTTCTTCCAATGCAGCTGATTTTTATAGTCAATGCTGCATCTTGCAATCTCTTCTAATAGTTACCTTAGTTTATACCATGGGGTTTGCTGTGCATTCAATGTTATGTGAAAATGAAGATAATCTTACTTTTTGTTTGTTCCTATGTTTATGTCCTTTATGTATTTATATATTTAGTTTTTTTTATTTTTGCCCAATTGCTTAAGAACCTCCAATATACTGTTGACTAGGAAAAGCACAAAAATGTACTTTTTAAAATTCCTGATCCTAATGGGGAAATCACTCAGTATTCTAAAATTAGTTATGTTGTTAGCTATGAGGTTTTTTTGTTTGTGTGTTTTTTGTTTTTTAGATAACCTTTACCATGCTGAGGATTTGTTCTTTGTACTCTTGGTTGAATATACCAAGTATTTTCTTTGTTTCTATTGAGAAAATTATGTAAATATTATTTATCAATATGGGTGATTTCCTTACATCTCTGAAGTAAATCATATTGGATCGTATTTTATATATATTGCTTCTTAGATGTTGCTCAACTGGATTTTCTGATATCTTATTGAAACTTTATGTGTGTATTTACCCATGATATAGCATCATCTCTAATGCAGACTATTTTATACCAGCAGGGTTTGGTTCAGCGGTTCTCAACCTTCCTGATGCTGTGACCTTTGACACAGTTCCTCATGTTGTGGTGACCCCCAACCATAAAATTATTTCATTGCCATTTCATAGCTATAATTTTGCTGCTGTTATGAATAATAATGTAAATGTTTTTTGGAGACAGAGGTTTTACCAAAGGGACGTGACTCACGCACGGGTTGAGAATCACTGGTTCAGGCGATGTGTGGATCAGTACCTTGCCAAATGGTGTTCTTGTTACTTCATAAACATGGTGCTTGCTTAACTTTACAAAAATGTTTGTGCAGCTTACGGCTGTTTTAAGTACTTTTACCTTGAAAGCATGGATAGCATCAGAATAACAGAAAACAATGTGTGTACGTTTAAATGCTCTAAGGCATGTTGAAAGTCTGAGGAAGCACTGAAATATTTCCTTCCTTCTTTCTTTTGATGTTGTGTGTGTGTTTGGAGGGGGTGATGTGCTATAAGTCAACTATAGTTTTTAGGTTGATTAGCTTGTTTCGATTACTGAGCACTATGTTTACAATAAAAGGGCATGTATATAGTGAGAAATCAATATGTAAATAAATCCCTCCAGATATTTTCTAACCTCCCTGTAGCTGGACCTAGAAATCTCTAAGTATTTTTAAATGTACTCCTCTACTACTCCACTACTTCAGTGATCACATCTGGGACCCACAGCATCCTCACAGAGGCTACGACAAATGCATGACACCCTGTCTCAAACCTAAACACAGGCATGGGATTACCAGTCCACGCTTCAGAATCCCACAACCACATCTGGGCCACTTACTGCCACAGTTTCCCCAGTAAGGTGTCAGCCCCTGACTCGCTCCCTGCCAGCCTCAAGGCATTTTCACCCTGGCGGGTCCCTAACTACCCACTCCCAGCACCACGCACAGACAGAGCATGCAGAGCTCTCATTCTACATGGAAATAGCCAAGCAAACAGACAAAAGGACATGCCACAAGCCACAGAAGCCACCAGGGCAGCGAAGGCAGGAGGTGCGCGGCAGGGAAGCTGATGGTTTCATTGGAGCGTGAATCTCTTTGCTTTTTATGATCCTGTGGACGGTCAGAGGAAAGTCAAAACGCAACAGAGCATGAAGGAACTTCCAAAAGAGGAGTGAGACCAACAGCACTCCTCACCACGTGCTCATGATGATTTCAGGTGGCTGTACCGAAGTGCCACTGGCTCGGTGGCAGGAACATGGAAACTTCCGGTTCTTAGCCTGGACACAGGAAGTCTGAGATATATATGTGGGTGGGGCTGGTCTGTTCTCCTCCTCTGGCTTTTGGTGGTGAGGCTTTTAGTAGTGAGCACTCTGGTACTCTTTACCTTACAGAAGATTCACTCCGATATCCGCCGCCACTCCAGTATCTCAATGGCATTTACCTGTGGCATACCTGTGTGCAAATCCCTCCCCCTTAAAAGGTATTTCAGGCTGGTGAGATGGCTCAGCAGGTATGGGAGCTTGCCACGAAGCCTAATGACATGAGTTTGCTTCTTAGAACCCACCATGGTGGAAAGAGAGAAATTACTTTCCCAAGTTTCCCCCATGACATCCATGTATGCAGAGTGACATGGGTAACCCCCACAAGCAAGAAACAAGCAGACCTCACTTTTAAGATAAACGTGGTCTGTCCTATCAGATTAAGGCCCTCCTGTGTCCAGTATGACTTTGTCTTAGCTAAATGTGTGTGCAATGAGTTTCCAAATGAGGTCACAACTCAAACACACACACAAACACCTACATAGCTCTGTAGGTTTGGGTTCAATCCTGACTGGGACACATTGCCCTGTGTAGAGAGACTGAGTTTTGGGGTTTCAAAATACATGTTTAAGAGAGGGTGTTGCAACTCAGTATAGAATACCTACCAATGGAACGTTCTAGCAACTGAGTGGCCAGATGTTGTGGTCTTAGAAGAAAGAACTCCATGTGAGTTGGTGCATGATTTCTTGGGCCTTATCAGCCTGCAGTCTCTGTTTTCTCATCACAGGGGGCGTGGCTGGGCAGTTTAAATGGGCCATTCCCTGTGGGCCTGTGATCCAGGGAGCTTCAGCTATGTGTTATCTGTCACCGCAGGTTATATCGAAGCTGCTGTCATTCCGGCTGGAGCTCGGAGGATCCGTGTGGTAGAAGACAAGCCTGCTCAGAGTTTTCTGGGTAAAACAAAACTCTTCACTCAAAGTTGCTGCTCTGAGAGTTGATTCTGATGACCAGAGGCTAGTAGCTCTGCTACCGTCTTTCTCCCGGTTTTCTGCATGCCTGCACTCCCCATATATCTTCTCCCAGGTGTACCTCCACCTTCATTGTAATACCCTAAGTACTCAAAATGGATCAGAACAGCACTTTTGGCAAGCAGCAAGACCCAGGGTATTTTCGGGGGTAGGGTAGAGTCAGTCAGATCCACCACTCTTAGATGGGTTGGAAAACAAAAATGTGGAAGAATCCATGAGGTATTGGGGGAGTGTGTTTCCCAAAAATCAGTACTGGGGGTCTGGGGCAGTTAGCTCAGGCAGCATAGGTCCATGGTCCATCCTTCAGCAAGCCGCTGCAGACTGCCAAGGGCAGTGGAGGTGCCTGTTGCCGAGGAAAGAGCAATGGTCCTAAGCTGACTGGAGATACAAACAGCACTGGCCTTCCCTAAGCTCTTGACGCCTAGCTTTATAGTAACCGACTGGCTGACTTTGAGCACAAACCTCTACAGATCTCTACAGGGTTAGATTGCATCCTGACTGGTGCTCATCGCCCTTTGCTGAGGATTGATTCAGTGAAAACCATCCTAGCTAAAAGAGGCCCTCTGAGCAATTCCAGTCTTGCTGTTAACCCTCAGAAAAGATCAGCCTAGTCCTTGAGCCGCTGAAAGCAGCAGCACCGCATTGAACCCATGAGCGTTGTTTCCATAGGCTTCAGGAAGAAAACACTCATTTGGGTCTCAGGAGCTGCTCTTCTCTTGGTTCAGCAGCACGGAAATGATGTCATTTAGATCCTTTGGTCAGCCTAAACCCCATGGTACTTGCATCAGTTAAATTTCAAACTAGATATGGCTCATCTCCTCCTCAGGGTTCCCTCTCTCAGACTGTGTTGGAAGGTGTCTGAGAGTGGTGGGCGGAAGGGTTTAACTTCTAAGTATTTGGGGAAAATCAAAATTTCCCATGAAACCACTTTATTCGAACTTTTAATACTGAGAGGAAAAGAAATGGTGTCTTTGACCACATTCCTGCCTTTTTTAGATTACACAAGAGTATCCCTGCCTTTCTTCAAAATGGTCGCAACTTGAGTTAACTCTAAAGAGATAGCATAACTCTCCGGCAAGAATGCAGTAATCAACACCACAGGGCTACTACCTAGCGCCTTAGATAATGAGGAAGGTGCTGTTACGGAGCCTTGGATAGCACTGTTGTCCTTCCTGAGGAGGAGATGCTCCAGGGTACACTGCACATCTGCCTCTGGAAGAGGCAATGGGAAATGTCCCAGCCCAGCCTAGCACACTCCTCCCCAGCCGCCCCAGCTGTCCCACTGCACAGAACAGTGCTTATGAAGGCTTCCTAAAAGGAGCCTGGTGCTGCTTTGGGCAACTTTCCCAGAGTGGCAGCCTTCTACTAAATTCCCGGAGATCCTGCCCCTTTCCACACACCTGAGGAAAATGGGTAAAATTCTGCAGTGTTGACTTGGGAAGTCTTGCCACCAAGTGTCACTCCCCAAATTCACCCTGCCCAACGGGTGCTCTAAGAATGTATCATTTTGCCAGGGACTCGCGTTTCTCTTTCCAAGGGCACAGCACTGAGGCTTCACAAGAGCCCAGGGTCGGCTTTCACCCATACTTACAAAACTATGAACCCAGTAGTCTAAAAGCTGGCCCAGCTCTGAGTGCACCAGACAGTTCTTCCATAAAGCAGTAACAGGTGCTCCGCAGGTAAGTCCTTGAGCTCCCAAGATGCCCCAGCACCCATCTTGCCGGTCCCATTCCATAGTACCTGGGAGATAGCAAAGCTTCCTCCCTTTCTGCTCTTCCGCAGAGTGTAAGTATGACAGAAGACACTTCCAGAATCAACACATCTTCAATATCTAAGCCCTAGACTACAAAGGGACCCCTCACTGGAGCTCACATCAGAGGATTGTTGTCACAGTCGGCCCTGTCAGCTCTCCTGCGGAAGCCGAAAGGCACATATGTAAAGGAGAGTACTAATACCCATGTTTGTGGTTCCCAGTCCCCGGACAGTGCAGAGAGAGACCTGAACCCCCACATCCCAATACACCACAGAGTATCCGCTATGCTGGATTTGCAGATGGCAAAGCAAAAGCCCCCCCCCCGGGGGGGCTTATTTGCATGCCCTGTTCTTCACTCCACCTGAATCCATTGCAGTCTGGAGCCTCTTAGAATTGCCAGTGCAATCTAATCAGGAGCAGAGGTTGGCTAATATACACGTTATTCTGTGCGTTGCCAGTCTGTATCCCAAGAGGATCAGTTTTAAACGTCTGAATGACTTGGCTCCCCAGAAGCAGTGTCATGCCTCCACAGGAGCTTGGAGCCAGCTTTAGTCCCCTTATCTTACCCCCAGATTCATAATCCCAGTATCCCAGGCCCTGACCCATAGGCAGGAGCAAGTCTGAAGGAAGGCCACACTTGCTTGCTATGTTTCTACAGTCAGCTCCAACGGGCCGTGCTTCCACTCGGGGCTGGGTGCTTTGGAAGTCAACCCCATTTAATTCTGAATTACTCTCACATTTGCTGGGAGCAGTTCCTCAAGAATTTCACCCCCACCTACCTTCAGCCCACGCTGGCTGGCTTTCTGCTCAAAACCACCTGGAACAGGAAATGCCTCTACAGTTTGTATCCATGGCTAAGAACAGAGCTGGCTGAACTCCTAGTGGAAATAAAGAAAGAGGCTGACACAGTGCCAGGAATAGAAGTGGGTTGACTGTGGGTCAGGTCTTCCAGTTGACTCTGGAGTGGGAAGAACTGAAAAGAAGCCACTGGCCTTCTGCACCCCTCTGAGCCAGGGGAGAGCAAGTAGGCAGGGGAGAGCCTGCCTCCCTGTGTGGCCAGCTCTGACAGAGTGCCCCTCCTCGCTCCATGGAACACTTCCTATCTGCTCTTACAGTGCCTAGAAGTCCCAAGATGGTGGGCAGATATCCACATCAGAGCTGAAAAGGGTGGGAGTTAAATTCTGGGCTATGCAGAGGTCTTGTTCTGTTATAGTGGCCAAGAAGAATGTGACTCTCTTTCCGTGGTACCCTGCAAAAAGCCTGTCTCGCTGCTCAAAGAATCAACAAAACGGGCACCCTTATTTTTGCATCATGGTTTAAAACATTGCAGCCCCTGACCCAGGCAGAAGCAGCTTGAAGAATGTCCTCAACAAACCTGAACCTCAGATCTTGCAGATGGAATCAGGCTGCTGGAGGAATCCCGTTCTCTCTGCCCTGAGCTGTTATTTGCCTGTAAATCAAAGCATGCATGATCATTTTGATGATCTTGTTGAGTTCTTCTCTGAGTCCCCAAATCCTAGTGACTGATTGGTCTTGACATCCTTACAGACTGAGAGAGTTTTATGCCTGAGAGGTGAGGGCACAGCAGCTTCATTAAGAAGATGGGAATGTCATGTGCCTCAGCCTCCAGACAAGCTCTCATGCGGAGGAACAACTCTCTTCCGCAAACCCTGCCGAGGGTCATCCACAGAAGGGAGGAAAGCCACTCCTGCTGAGACCTAAGAGGACAAGAAGTGACAGCTCCAGGACATCGAATCACACATGGAAGCTACCTCTTCGCTGTCAAAAATGACCTCGATGTCCCAACAGACACTGGGACTGAAGTTTCACTCTTCTGAAAGGAACGTCAAGTGCTAAATTCTGATTTTTTTGTTTTTAACATGGAACACGGGAACTTAGAAATCTTGTATCTTGTTTCTGACTCCCACCTGAGTCAGAAACGTTAGAAGCCATCCCCACACCACCGGAAGCTGTTGCTTCAAATTCTGCCTGATCTGGCAGAAAATACAAACACCACTGTTCCGAGGACCCTCCTCAGATGAGCAGAAGGCTCTGCTGCTAGAGCCGCTGTTAGCTCCACCTCCATCCTGCCCATCACAGTTGCCACTTCCACCCTGGATCCCCTGGAACCAAGCAGCTTACCATAGTAACCGCACCACACCCCTAAGTGTGATTTTTCTCTCCTCTAGGTGTATTCTCCCAGCCCTTTCCAACCCTTCCCTCCCAGATGTCAGACTCTGGGCATGGGCCAGGCCAGTGATTTTGAGCTCATGATTTAGTAGGTCACTTGAAGCATCTTACAAAAAGAACCAGGGGGTGTCTACACAAAGCTGGTAGGAAAGAGCCACCTGTGCAGGAGACTGCTGTGTGATGGGAACAGTGGCCCAGAAGCATGGGCTCATGTTGTGAATGGCTGAGGTGACCCTAAGGAACCCATGAGTAGTTTTCTTCCTTCATCTACTCTGCCCTTCCCATGGACGAGTGTTTTTACAAGATGGCCTCCTAAAGACACAAGTGACAAGCGTCATGTCCTTAGTCACTGGGCTTCAGCTTCAGATACTCTTGGGTCCAGGAGTTTCAAATGATATCACAGGAAACAGTGTCTGCCTCTCTCAGAGGCTCTTCCCATGTGGCAACAGGTCAGGCTTAGGCCTTTGGACAATGCCTAGGGAGGACGGTAATTCTCTCTACAGTGAAAGGGAGCCAACCCAAACCCAGAACTGGGCATAGCCCCCTCTGACTAGAGGAAAACATATTCTCAAGGGAAGCTGAGGGAAGGGGGCCATTCCTTGAAGATAGAGAAACAGGCTAGACAGCAAATATACTAGACAGTCAAGATGGCCACCTTGCAAGAAAGGCCAAGCCCTGACATCTAGACTTGCAGCCCTAGCCTTGAGCTGAGAAGGAAGGCCAGTGGGTGAATGCAGAACAGCAGGGTAAGTGAGAGTTGCTGAGAAGAGAGAGCCAATGCCCAGGTTCTCTGGTCCGTGGATGACACATGGGTTCCAGCAAGGGTCCAGGCATGGCTATGGGTGATGTTTGGCTTCAAGGAAAATTCTTGCTCATCTCACTGACTCCTATTCACCAACAGCAGCAAGTGCCTCAGAGTCCTCTATCCCAGCCACAGTGACTGTCACCCTCCACCTCCTTCCTGTGACTTCTGCCCATCTCTCACCCCATTTCCCTAAGCCAGACCTGTAGGAAAAGATAGCCATCACCTTCCACATGCTCCCTTGCTTTCCTGCCCGAGGGGATCTTCTTGACACAGTGGCCTCCGAGAGTCAGGAGTCCGGGCCCCAGCTCTGGGTTTGCCACACACTCCTGCAAGCTGCTGCTTTTTCCAGCTGCCATAGCTAAATTCATGGTCTTTTGTCCAGGAAACGGTCTCCAGTTAGCTGTCTGTGTCATCCCCCACTTACACAGCCAAGGCCACGCATGTGCCTCTATCATGGAGCATATGAAACACTCTGTTGTCTGTCTCTCCTGCAAACTTTGAGTTTCCTGAGAACAGTAGTGCTCTGTCCTCAGCCCCCTGCCAGGAAACACTCAGAAGAGAGGAGAGGCTGGCAGAGGCACCCTGCTGTTCCATGGGCATCCTCAAGTCATTCTTTGTTAGAGGACTCTGGCCCGTCAAAAAAAAAAAAATTTTTTTTTTTGTCCTGAAATTTCCCCCAGCCCACACTGATTCCTCAAACCAAGTATGTATGAGCATATGCAATCCCCAAACCTCCAGTGACACTGGAAGACAAAGACTGTCTCTGTCACCTTCACCTGAAGATGATATGCCAAGGGTGTGGGGCTTGGACGGTGTGCGGTGGTCTACTGAGTTCGGCTCTCATTGCTGCAGCTTTAAAGCTGAATGTCTCTTGGCAAGTTACCTAACCTCCCTGTGCTTCCATTTTCTACATGAGAAAAGTAATTCCAAGAGCTGCTGGGAAGGTTAACAGGTTAACTGGGAAGAGCACATGAATTGGTGCTTCTTAAACCGAGGTTTTGCAGAACTCCTGTTAGGAGAGGGAAACCCGTGATCTCATCTCCTTTTCAGTAGCCGGAAACTTTCAATCACCATTGAATGTCCCCCACAAAATAGATTCTGTTCCAGGTGGCAGAGTGTTCTCTTCCCTAGCCTCTCCCTGGAGCCCAGGAATCCTCTAGTTCCTATGTGCAGCCTCCCTGCGACATGCTTCTTACCAGTATGTTAGACAGCGCCCTGCCTGTTCCCCTGGGTGGCTGCACAGTCAACACGCCCCAGCTTATTTCCCCACCGAATTTGCCGGGACTGTGGTATCACACAGACCAGGGAGCTGAGGCCACCCCCGCCCCATGTGCTACAGCTGCCTGTCTGAGCAGACCTCAGCCTCAGGCTCCTCAGCCGGCATGGCCAACAGACTCAGCTTCCAGGGACCCCTCTGCGTCACTATGTCCAAAACCGGTGGTGAGTTGTTTTTGTTGTTGTTGTTGTTTTGTTTTGTTTTGTTTTTAGTTGCTAGTTTCAGCAGGCAGATAGTAGGAAATGGAACGGACTCTGAATATGTTGACTGTAAACTTGGGCCCCAGAGTGACATGGAGAAGTCTGGGCTGTTAGGACTCTTGGCTGTGTGCCGAGAGTGCATGGGAGTTTGATTTTGGAGAGTTCCCTTAAGATGTACTGTCACCTGCCATCTAAGTACCAAGTAGATCCTGTTGTTGTTTTTTTGTTTTGTTTTGTTTTGTTTTGTTTTGTTTATGCAGTGAGTGATTTTCTCTAAATAGCAACAATAACAAAAGCAAAGGAGGGTTCTCCTAAGCAAGAAGGCCATAGGACCTCAGTCTGTGCCTCAGGAGGCAGCAAGGCATGACTGTCCTGACCCCCACCCCTCCATAAGGTTTGCATCAGAGGTATAAGTTAGAGAGTGTGGGGCCTGGAATGCTCAGAGCTCAGCTTTACCCCATCCCGGCAGCTGCCAACTGTTGTCACCTCATCTGTGAGTAGCCAGGGTTTTTACGAGTCAGTGTGTAACACAAAAGCATTCATTCCTAAAGGAATATCCGCTTTCCCAGTGTCAGGGTGTCAGATCCTAGGGGGGTACTGGAGTCACAATGCCCTTCCAAAGGCTCTGAGAGGGGACAGTGAAGTTGATGTTAACATTTTTTCTTCATGGCTCAATAATGTTCCATTTTGTGTACGTACTGTCCCATTCATCTATAAAGCAGCACCCGGGCTGATTCCACCTCTCTGTGTGCTGATGTCATTTCCTGTGGATATGTACCAGAATGGGGAAGCCAGGTCCTGTGCTGGAGCTATACTTTTCCTACGAATCTCCCATAGCAGCCAGAGGAAAGTACACTCCACCCACAGCATGCATGCTTTGCTCTTGGTCCTGGCCACCATTTGCTAATTATTGTTTTATTCATGAGGACATTCTGACTAGGGTGAGATTGTTTTACTTTTCCCCCGGTGACATGATAGTGAGGAATTTGAATTGGAAGGATTTCTTTTTTTTAATATTTGTAAGCCATTTGTATCTCATTTTTAAAAGAGGTGTCAACCTGGGAAGAGTGCTAAGATCAATGTAAACCCTGTCTACAAATGAGGGGAAGGGGTCTAGAAAGATAATACAGAGGTTAAAAGCGCTTATTCTTCTTGTAGAGGCCCCTGGTTCAATTCCTCACTCCTATGCAGTGGCTCAAAACCAGCTGTGACTCCATTCCTGGCAGTCTAGTGCTCTCTTCTGACCTCTGCAGGCTTGGTCTACACATCTTGCACATGAACTCGCACAGGAACATGCACATGGGTATAAAAAAATAGAAATTAAGAGGTAAATAAAGCATCATTTAAGGTGCTAGGGATGTAGCTCAAGTGGTACAGTGCTTGCCTGGCATGCAGGAAGCCCTGGGTTCAAGCCCCAGCACTGTATAAACTGGGCACCTACAACCAGGAAGATCAGAACGTCAAGGTCACTCGGCTACATAGGAGGTTAGAGGAAAACTAGGCTAGAGATGTTGTTGGTCACTTGGCCATCTTTGGCCTGTCCTTGGCAGCAAAGAGGCTGGAACTGCAGGAGATGGTGTGATGTGCAATAAACTAGACACAGAAAGACAAGTATGTCCTCTCATATGCAGAGTGTAGAATAGTGGTTATCAGTATGTGTTCTATACACACATTCAACTCACACTGATTTCCAAAATGGCACAACTAATGCCTGTTGTTGTTTTGTGATAAATCTCAAATGAATGGATGAGTTTTGCCAAAGCTCCAAGACATGTTTTGTGGCCTTGAATATACCAACCAAGAACTCATTCATCAGGCAAGAAGCCATCTACTGCCATCAGCTTGGACCAGATCCTAACATTCCCATCCTCTGGCCTCTCTCCCAGTCCCACTACAGGAATCAGTAGTGAGATAGACAGCTGTCTTGGAGTATGTACCATCAGCCCTCACAGTTCTTCCTCCTGTGATCAGGAGAAGTTTGCTTTCTCTGAGCGAGCCTTCTGTCCTTGGTGTCCAGAGAATACAGCCCCCTCGCTGCAGGCACCTGCTGGCCCTCATGGAGGTCTCAGACTCAGGCGGGACCCCCAGATTCCCTCTGAGGACAGGCTAGATGGCATTGATTTTCTGATGTTCAATTTCCTTTCTAGCTCTCAAAGACTCCAGTAAGAGGTCCATCAACAGCGACTGGAAGATTGAACTCCCTGGAGAGTTCCAGATTGCAGGCACGACTGTCCGCTATGTGAGAAGAGGCCTATGGGAGAAGTTTTCAGCCAAGGGACCCACCACAGTACCACTGCATTTGATGGTAAATACTGGCCCTGCTCCTTTGCTTAAACTGATATCTCAGTTGGCTTATTAGAGTCTTGTTCCCCAGGACCTGCGTGGAAAGGGATGCCTCTGGTTCCTGGAGGTTTGCAAAGCTCCCTGCTACTGAGGCTTTTCTCTCTTTTTTTATTATCTTCATTTATTCATTTACTTGGGTATACACATATGTGTAATGTGTTTGTATGTTCTGTGTATGTGGGTGTACAAATGTGCATTCTAGTACACATTTGTGCACATGTGTGTAGATGCCAAAGGTCAGGTGCCAATGTCTTTTCTTAGTTGCTGTCTATGTTTATGTTTTGAGGCAGGGTCTCTCACTCAGTCTGAAGCTCTTCAATTTGGCTAGGCTGGCTGGCCAGTAAACTGTGTCAGTCCCCTTATCTCTGGCCCAACATACAGTTCTGGTATTACACACTTGAGATGCTATGCCCGGCGTGGTTCTGAGGATCCAAACTCAGATCCTTGTGTTTCTGTAGCATGCAAATCACTGGCTGTGCCATCTCCCCGGCCCGCTGCACCATCTCCCCAGCCCATGCCCTCTGTCTTCATCTTATTCCTTCCACCTTGAGGTTTCTCCCCAGAATCTCCTGGCTCCTTACTGACTGGCACCTATCTTCCTCTAAAGAAGATGATTCCAAGAAGGGAATCACAGTCACATGAGTGGCAGCGAGGGAGAAACAGCCAACACCATTAAGTAGAGGGTCATTGTCAGTGAGAGTTTCCATAGTGTAGACAAAACACTATGACAAAAAAAAAAAAAAAAGCAGCTGGGGAGGAAAGGGTTTGCTTGGCTTATGTCTCCAGAGGGATAGTCCACTGAGGAAAGACAAGGCAGGAATCTAGTGAGGTGGAAAAGTGGAAGCAAGAACTGGAGCACAGGCCATGGAGGGGTGCTGTTTACTGTCTTGTTCCTCAAGGTTAGCTCAGCCTGTTTGTTGATTTATTTATTTATTTATTTATTTATTTATTCACTTTATGTCCTCATTGCAGCCCCCTTCCTCTCTTCCCAGTGACCCCGCCTTGTTCCTGGCTCCCTCAATCATTTCCCCAACTTTTCCATAGGACTCCCTAAGCTCTGTCTAATGTTTGCCTTGGGTCTCTGTATCTGTTTCCATCAGCCACTGTTTCCATCTCTCAGAGGAGTTATGGTAGGCTCTTGTCTACAAGCCTAGCAGAGTAACATTAATTGTGTCATGGATTGGTTCTCTTCCATGGGATGGGTATCAACAGCCAGTCTTTGGTTGGCCCTTCTTTCAGTCTTGGCTCCATCGTTTTCCCTGCATATCTTGTAGGCAGGACAAATTTTGTGGGTGGGGTGGTGGCCTTATCCCTCCACTGGAAGTCCTGCCTGGGCTCAGCCTGCTTTTTTAGCACCCAGGATGGCCCGCCCTTTGATGGTCTAACTGACACTGGACTGTGTCCTCTCACATCAGTCACTGATTAAGAAAATGGCCAACAGCCCTATCTTATGGAGGCATTTTCTCAATTGAGGTTCCCATCTCTCAAGTTTATATAAAACTAGCCAGCCCAGCTCTGCCCCAAATATGTTTTTGATCAGATGGCAGCATGCATAGAGCTACCCCATAGCTGAGATGCCCCTTTTGGAAGGGAACTGTGGAAGTGAAGTGTGGTCTGGTACCACTCAGGTTGGCCAGATTCTGCTTATAGCCAGCTCTGGAGAGTCGGGAAAGAATCAGATTCCATCTTCTGCTTATTCCCCAGGTGGTTTTCAGTGACCTGTATACTCGGGCTAGCCAGGATGTCAGTGCTAGGTTATTTCCGTGTCTGCTGCTCAGAGACGGTCACAGTATCCAAGTCCTCCAGGGGAAGTCATGCCAAGGTTTCCTTCTCAGGGTCTGAGCAGACTAATGGACTATTTATGACAACACCCCATTCTGGGAAATATTGTAAGGGTGTTGGAGACTGAGCACAGGCCTTGTACACGCCAGGTGAAGCTCGTTGATCCTGATCCCCTGAAAGGCAGGGTTTCTGACATCGTGTGCATATGTCATCAAAGCATGCATTGTCCCAAGTTCCTGCCAGCCTCTGAAGTTCCCCACCTCGAATTGATTGTGCTCACCCCTGAAGATGAGCTAACACTCAGAAGGTTCTCTGGCCACCGCCGACTGTGGGTGTTGAGTGTAGCCTGATGAGGGCGCTGACCCCGTTGGAGTTTCTGCTGAGCTGAAAGCCAGCCAGCGTCCACGTGTGCCAGAAACATCTTGGGTCTCTGCCAGCGATTCCACTGTAGATCATTTCTGCAAGTAGATCTCGGGAACCCAGGGACCTTCCCCAGAGCCATTTCTCCAGGATGAGATGTTTCCCAGGCAAAGCCTTTGAAACAACCCCCCCACAACTATTCTGAGTTCAAAGCGAAATATCCAGAGGGGCACAGAGAGGAGGGTAGAGACAGAATGAGGCCCTGAGGCCCGTGCAGAAACATCAGCAGCTAGTGTGCGAGTTCGCCTTCTCCAATAAGCACTGAGGTGTGCATGGGACCAAGAGCTCTTATAACCTGATGTGTCTTCAGCCCCGTGAAGCACGTACACAGCCTAGAGCTGTTCAGGCCATAACAGAAGTCAGTATATCTCGCAGGCAATTAATAGGTAACAGCTTTGTCTCTTGAAATGTGTTCTTTATGCAACATCGCTTCAAAGTTCCTTTGCCTCTGCATAGCAAGCTACGGCCCACACACTGGGGTGTGCACACTGCTTTAACAAAAGATACACGGGAGTCCTAGAGATCAGTATTTGAAACCAATTAATAATCATATAGTAATCATACATGGCTATGAAATTGGTTTCATATGGGGCCTCCCTTTGCTGGTCAGTCTCATTCCCACAGTGAGATAATAAAGATCTCTTGTAAAGACTAGCTTTCCTGCACTTAGTTTTGGAAGGTTGTTTTGTTGTTGCTGTTGTTTTGAGTTTTAGCAGGAGGCATTTCTCCAATTGCGTGACTGCAGGTCTATTGACTGGGGGAGTAGAAATCTATTGGGTCTCCTTCTAGAGCCCTGCCCTCATCCCGCAACCCAGGATTGAAGGCCCAGGAAGCCTTGGGACAATTCTCTCCTCTGATCTTACACTTCCGTCCTGGTCTGTCCAGCCCATGCAGGTGTGCTGTGTACTCTGCCTTTAGCTCCTGCCTGCCCCTCCGCTCTCCCAGATCTCTGGGACTGGAAATGAACTTGCTAGCTGCTTAGTCACAGAAATACTCACTGGTCTACAACCGGGTCCATCTCCCGCGGAAAAGCCTGCTTTCCTTCATTGTGTCTATATTATGTTTAAAGCAAGTTGGGCACCTAGTGGTCTTTCCATGATTTTCCCCAGGCAAAGCACAGGCCCTTCCATTCTGAACCCTCACTAGGATTTCAGAGGCATGGTACCCAAGCAGCAGCATGGCCCCCACAGACAAAACCTGCATCTCCATCTACCCTTTGTGTTCAGCCATGAGCTAGGCCTCTGCCCTCCAACAGACATAGCCATCAATCTGGCTCCATGGCAGTACCAAGATCCAGACATGCTCAGTGTCCCCAAAACAGGTTCCCCCAGGTTCCTCTGCCATTGGCTGTATCTTTCTCTTGAGCCCAACTTAACCCTGAATATACTTACTGCAATGCAACAATGGCTCCGAATGATGGCCACACCATCTGGAGGACAGAGTTTATCATCTTTAATGTCTCCATACCTGCGAAAAGCACCGTGGCCAAAAGCAGCTTGGGGAGAAAAGGGCTTATTTCATCATCTTGCACTTCCAGATCTATCACTGAGGGAACTCAAGCAAGTGAGGAACCAGGAAGCAGGAACTGAAGCAGAAGCCAGGGAACAATATTGCTTACTGGCTTGTGCCTCATGGCTCGCTCAGCCTTCCTTCTCAAAGCAACAAGAGGTGGCAGCACCCATAGTAATCTGTGCCCTTCCACAACAGTCATCAATCAAGAAAACATCACCACAGGCTTGCTGATGGGGGATTCTGGTGTGGGCATTTTCTCTACTGAGGTTTCTTCCCGAATGCCTCCGGCTTCTGTCAAGTTGACATAAACTAGCCAGCATAGTGCTTATGCTCAAAGAAATAGTTTAGCACTTCTCTCAAATCTCTTTCTAGGAAGAAGCAGTGTGTTTGTGTCTTCCTCATCTGTAAGTGCAGCCCTGTGGGCGAGTTGGTGAGAATGTGTAATTGCTCTTTCTCTTGACGTGTCTATGATGCAGAGAAATACCACAAACAGCCACGCCATTCATCACCTGCCCCGAATTCCTCAATTAAACAGGTCTTCTGTGGAATAGAAAAGAACAGACCTCGCCGATGATAAGTGGGTTCACCCCGTATACCCAGCAAGTCCCTAAGGAACCTGAAGCTGAGATAAAGGGACACCCCTAATTTTAACCTGCTTTGACCTTCAGAGAAGCAGCCACCCACATTCAACCTTCTATGGGTGCTCGCTCCATCTCAGTGAGGCCTCCCTTTCCATGGCTCCAGGTGCTGCTGTTCCATGACCAGAACTACGGAATCCATTATGAATACACCATCCCTGTGAACCAAAGTGCTGAGAATCAGAGCGAGCCTGCCAAGCCACAGGATGCTCTGTTCCTCTGGACCCACAGCGGCTGGGAAGGGTGCAGCGTGCAGTGCGGAGGAGGTAAGGTGGGGTAGGAGAGGTGGGGTGCAGTTTTGGTGAAGAAATACTGAGTTCAGGGCCCTCTGCACCAGTACACACCGTTTGGAAATAGAGGGTCTGTGCTTCCACAGGGACTTAAGCCCTGAAGATCTCAACAGAACAAGTGGCCAAGCCTTGCCAGTTCCCGCAGCACTTCTTGGCCTGGGCTTTGGACCTAGCAGTAGAGATTTGCAAATTGGATGACAACATGGTAGATATGAAAAAAAAAAAATTCGCCCTGGGAATAATTGAATAATGCAAGACCTCCAACTTGGTAGAACGGCACCAGGTGAGGACCTCAGCCATCCCCAAGGACCCTGTCATCTTTGCCGTAGTCACCTTTTCCTGGGTGCAAAGAGAAGTAAGTCCTCTGAGTTAAGCAGAACACGCACCAAATGAGTCTTGATTCCACATCTCTGCCCAACCTCAGCAGACAACCTACCCCTCTAAATATGATAACTGCCTCCTCACTCTGGAGACTGCAGGTGAGCCAAAGGGACCCACACACTACAAGGACCTATATTAGCAAAGGTGGCGTGTTCACTAGTAGGCCAGTAATAAAGAGCACTAGTAAGCTACCCCTATAAAGAAATCCTCACTTTGTGCCAGCAACTGTCATTCAACTCAGTGGGTCTCGCAAAAACAGACATTCATATTAGGAAAGGGCTTATCAGGGAGAAGGGTTTCAGCAAGGGATGAGGGTAAGAGAAGGCAACAGAGGTGAAAATGACTAAAATTCAATATATACACCTATGGAGCCATCAGAGAACAAAATGAAGAAATGCAAGTTTTAACAAGGAACAGCAGAAAACTGCATCAGGGGGAGGGGTACAGTAAAGAAACAGCCAGCATGACCACTCCATGATATGGGAATTTTATTTTATTTAATTTTTTATTTTTTTTTTAGAGATAAGAGAGAATGTCCAGAGGCATGTAGAAGAGTCCAGCGCAGAGAGAGAATGAAGTAGACTGGACATGGCCTGGGCTAGGGCTAGGGAAATGGGGGAGCAAGAGAGAATAGTGGAGATTGTGTGTGGAGAGAGAGAGAGAGAGAGAGAGAGAGAGAGAGAGAGAAACAGAGACAGAGCATAGCAAGAGAAAGTAAGAGACAGTAAGTTCGAGAAAGAGGAAAGAGATACCTCTAGGTCAGCGACATTTGTCACCCCAATAAGGCTGTCAGGAAGGTCATCAGAGATGACACAAAGGATACTAGGTAAGACTAAGTTAGGATAAAGGCTTGACCAGGACCCTGAATGCCTACCCAGAGAGTGGGTGGCAAGCTAGAACCCAGGTGCAGCCCCAGCCATCCCTGCTCTTGAGTAGCTTGACCGCTAAGATGATGTCAAATATGCAGCTTGTACAGCATTGTTTAACATTTAAGGGGCTCATCCCATTGTTCGTGGGGAGATCAGAGCCAGGATGTAATCAAGTCTTTCAATGCCTTCCGGTGCATCTCAGCCAGCTGCTCACACTAAATGGTGTACATGTCTTTCCTCTGCAAACTGTGGCAGTTGACACCACTTCCAGGTGGCACCATCATCCCCCAGCTCCTACACCTTTTCCAGGACATCTCTTGTCCTGGGGCCTTCAGCTGCCCCCTGGGAGGAGGGGCCCCACCTCCCACTTTAGGGACCCATGCATGTATCTCTAACTGTGACCAGACGTTCCCATGTCTCCCTACTGTGGACCAAGCCCAGCGAGGGGAGCCACAGCAGGCTGTGCTCCGCTAGGGCTCTGAGCTGCCCAGCCACTGCTGTCTTGGTGCAGTCCCTCTGTGACAGCAATGACTTCCAGCTCTGTAGTAGTCAGGTCTGCTGCCTATGCTGAAAGGCTATATTCAACAGCTCTTTGCTTTCATATTCACACATGACTACATTTGTGGGCCTAAGGCTAGATAGTGGCTTGAGACTCCCCATTTTTTAGTTGTACCTATGTGACAAATTCCTCAGACAACAGAGCCTATGAAGAATTCTGGGGCTAGATAGTTAAATACTTGACTCCCTGTTCATCTTTTATGGTCGCTCTCCTTAATCCAATGACTCCAATACAGTAACGAGATGTCATCGTTAACATATCCTCAAGCCGAGGGAGGTGAAGCAAGCTGGCCCATAGGGGAGACCTGAGATACAGAGGTATGGTGGCCAGCTGTTGATACAGTGGTCACAGTGATACTCGGTGAAAAAGCCAAGAGGCACCCAGACAGCTGGTTCCAGAGACCACCCTCCTAACCACTATCACCCGGCCTCCCTGCCAAAGCTGTAGCCATCAGATTGAGAGCTCATAGGGCACACTCAAAGAAAGGCTCCTGAGTTTGCAAAGCTGCCCAAGAGCACGTGGCACTGTGGCTTCGGCAATGCTCGGCTAAGTTAAGAGCTGGCCGCCTGCCAGAGTGAAGCAAGCTCATGTGCCTGTCAACCCAGCCACCTCGCTCCTCTCGAGAAGCAAGCCATAACAAACCAGCAACTAGCCACACTATCGCTGAAGGCTGGAATACAGGTGTTCAGCTGGGACCAGATCTCCAGAGACTTTAAATCACAAACACGCAGATCGAAGACTGGCAATTTCTGGTGGAAATGGAAGCCCCAAGTCAAGGTGTTGGCCTCAGCAACTCCCGAGCCGTCCAAGGACACGGCTGAGCCAAGGTCCTGCTGCTCAGATTGTTCTGGTGTCTCACCTGCTCCCTAGCATGCTGCTATGATTTAAGCCCCCATCCCTAAACATGCAGCTCTCCCTCTTTGTCGAGAGATGTGGTCACTCATTGATCAGCAGTTGCACCCAAACTGCCCTCCATACGCATGAGCAAATGGCTCACTGAGTATGTGAAGCTATAACCTCTCAGCCCCTGTGGTTTGGCTTCCAGGAGAACGCAGGACCATCGTCTCATGCACACGGATTGTTAACAAGACCACGACCCTGGTGAATGACAGTGAGTGCCCCCAAGCAAGCCGCCCGGAGCCCCAGGTCCGAAGGTGCAACTCACATGCGTGCCAGTCCCGGTAAGTGGCTGTATTTCGTGGCTTGGAGACACCAGCATGCTGGGTGTCACTACCTCCCATGAGGGGGTGGCAGGCAATACACAGTCAGCACCACAGAAACCAGCCTTTGCCGTATTCTGATCATGTGGCTAGTGATTGATTGATTGATTGATTGATTGATTGATTGATTGATTTTTACTTGCTTGAAATAGTCCTGTTACTTGAGAGCGGGGCGGGGGGGGGGGGACATTCTGAGACCTACCTACCTAGACAACAGAATGTTTGCTACACAAATAGGCCGATATATGTTGTCGTTCATTGTTCCTGGTACATGAACAAAACAGAGCATTAATTTAAGCATTACAACACGGATACAACCAGTAGACGCAGGGTGGGTCGGCTGGTGCTGTTCTAACACGGACATCCCTACAGTGACCAATACTTGTAAAGCGGAGTGCATTCTAAAACAACAGTAATCACGACAGAGTAAGGTTATGAACCAGTAAGTTGTTACTGCTGATTACCATTGTCAATAGTGTGACCTGTAGTATGTGCTGGGGCCTGGGAAATGGCTTCCTGGGAAAAGGGCAGTCATGAGGACCTGAGTTTGCGTCCTTAGCAATCATGTAAAAGATGGGAACATCTGTGTATGTCTGTAAACTCAGAGCTAGAGGGATATGTGGAGACAGGTGGATACCCAAGACTGGATACCCAGTCTAGCCAGTTGGTGAGCTTCAGGTTCGCCAAGATACGGTGTCTCAAAATAAAATGCAGTAAAGTGATATGGAGAGATGCCCAACATTGACCTCTGACCTCCTCATGCGCATGCATACGCAAGCACAGCACATGCACATCTGCATACACTCGTATATCCCGCCCCTCTCTCACGATAGGGAGTGTGACAACACAGTAGACTTGTTTCCACGAGCGTTGCGGAAAGCAGGATGCATTGCACTGTGACATGCCAGAGGTGACGGGAGTTTGTCAGCCCCATGGAATCTTGCAGCACCGCTGCGGCCTGTGTGCTGTGCTACTGACGGAAGCACCGTGAGACGGAGCTGTTCAGAACTTCTGTCTAAGCCAGAACCCTAACGGAAATACGCTGCCCTAGCCGGAGAGCAGCTTCCAGGTCATCGCGGACAACCTCTCACAGAAAAACGTTGCCGCGAGCACACACGTTCACTGGCATCCGCTGACTCCCCTAAATCACTTGTCTTGGAGGAAAAGGAAATTAGCTCTAGAATTTTAGTGTCTAAGAGTAAGTGTCCACAGGGGTTAATGGCTGTGTTTGACCCGTTGCCCCGAGTGCTTGTTGTTTGGAAACCATCTGGATGCCTCTTCCAGATCTAGCTGAAATGTGACATGGCTGTGCTGCCATGCGCCATGTGGTAAAGTCTGGGGTTCTCAGCTGGGATGAACTGTGTGAAGTGGGCTCACCAGTTGCACGCGTTTCTAGCTGCTTCCTCGGGACCGAGCGTGGTCCTCCTCAGCAACTCTAATGCACTGTGTGATATTACCCTCTGCCTTTCTTTCTGCCCCAGGTTGAGCAAAGAGTTTTTGCTATGCAGCCCTGCCCGTCATGTCAAGTCATCAAGCCAAGGCACAGTTACCTTTGCTAATGAGGCTTTGCTTTTTGCTGTGGAGTCTTATGGGTCTTTAAAGCTCTGTTTGTACAACTTGCCTGATAAAGGACTCTTTCCACATGTTTGGCTTTTGTACCAACCTCCGTCCGTTGCTTAGTTAAACTGTTGGTTTTTTTTTTTTTTAATTAAGTGTGTGTGTGTGTGTGTGTGTGTGTGTGTGTGTGTGTGTCCATGGCACATGAGTGGAGGTTAAAGAACAACTTTCCAGAGTTGATCTCTTTCCACCATGTGGGCCCTGGGTCTCTAATGCAGGTTGTCAGGTTTTGCCCAGGCACCCTTACTTGCTGAGCCATCGTCACATCATCACAGCTTTTTGTTAAAATTCTTGGCACAGGCTTAGGAAGAGAGGAGAAGGAAGAGCAAGCAGGTGCTATCCCTTATGTTGAATTTGCATGAGAATGAGAGCCTACTTTCACACCGAAGGCTTTAAGGGAGGACTCCTTCAGAAAGTCTGCAAGGTGGTTAGTTTTGAACGTCCACTCGCCACAACCTAGAATCACTGAGAAAAGATCTTCAGTTGAGAAATTACTTAGATTCGGTTGGCCTGTGGGCATGTCTGTGGGGGGTTGTCTTGATTGTTCATGGAGACGGGAATAACCCACACTGATATGGGCAGCCCCATTTTATGTACTGGATCCTGAACTATACAAGAGTGAAAAACACTGGGAGAGGCCAAGGAGCTTGGGTGCATTCACCTTCCTCTGCACTTGACTGTGCATGTGAGCTGCTTGAGGCCCTGGTGACCTGGAATTGTGAGCCAAAAAAGCCCCTCTAGTGTGCATTTTGAAGATTGGCAGCCATCCTTCAAGCCCATCCATCAGCCTCTCACTCACTTGTAGGGCCAAAGAAGGAAGATTTAACAAATGTAAAAACTCAGTGGTCAGGCCCGGCAGCAGTAGCGAGAGCCTTTAATCCCAGCCCTCGGGAAGCAGAGGCAGGCAGAACTCGGAGTTAGTAGGCCAGCCTGGTCTACAGAGAGAGTTCCAGGACAGCCAGGGCTTCGCAGAGAAACCCTGTCTCAGAAAAACTAAACAAAACCAACTCAGTGATCAGGCAGGTGACAGTCTCTCTTCCTGAAACCAAGGACTGGCTATCCCTGAAAGAATGAGCAGAAAATAGTGTAAGGGGATCATTCATGACGCAGGGGTCAAGATAGGCTCAAAAGAAAAAACCAAACCTTGTTGATGCTTTCATGAATTGCATTTTCCAATCAATGTTTACAAACTACTCTAACATCTAAATTTTTTAAATTATGTGCAGAAAACATTTACTCGGTCAGTACCCCTCCCCCATGGCTCATGGCACCCCTGTGGAACACTAAGAAATGGGGCTTAGAAACTGCCAGTCGAAGAGTTTACATTTTGTAATGATGGAGCAGCAGATAGCAAAGACCTCTGGAGAAAATGCAAAATTCAACTGTTTGAAAGCCAGAATGCAGACAGTACTTGGAGTAGAAGCTATGAGCGGGAGACCAGAGTGGCTCCATGTTGAGTTTCCACTGTGACAGGTTGTCACTACATGGACGTTGTACTAGTTACCTGTGGCAGAGCATCTGACAAGAGCAGCTTTCAAGTTGCTGCAGCTCATGGCCTCAGAGGGTTTGCAGGTGCCGCAGCTAGTGTAGGGAGCATGGCGGTGAAGCTCAGCTCATGGTAGGGGCCGTTTCACTGACCCTGTTGTCTTTTGTCAGTTTTGGAATGTTTGTTTGTTAATGCTAGGGACCAAGCCTAGGGTCCCACACATGTTTATAGCTCTACCCCTGAGCTATAGCTCCGGCCCTAGAATATACTAATGAAATGGAATATCCCTCTGTCTCTCTTCACTGTTCCCATGGCTACTGGAAAATTCAAATGACAAGTAGGGCTTGTTTGACATTGATCAGTGATTGTATGACATTGATAATGTTCTGGATATGATTGGAAATTAGTAGTCTCACAGAGAAACAGGTCCAGACTCAAGAGAGAAGAAAAGATTTGACTCAAAAGAAAAGGATATTTTTTTTATTCTTCAGCTTTCTAACAGTTTCTGTAACTCAAAGATAAAATCTAATACAAATGAACACGTATAGAAACCTGTTTTATGAACTCTATCCCTCTATGCTGTTTTTAATATAATGTTTTTATTAATTTTTCAAGAATTTCATACATGCATACAATGCATTGTGCTAATATTTATGCCTATGCCTCCCCCTAAGTTTTTTCAGATCAACCCCCCCTCCCAATATCATATCCTTTTCTTTTTTTTTTTTTTTTTTAAATAACCTATGAATTCCAATTTGTACTGCCTATGTACTCATGGAGCTTGGTCAGCCTCCCAGAGGCTGGCCCCTTAGAGACCCCCCCCCCCCAGAGAGCATCAGCTGTCTGCTGCTCCTCAGTTAGGGGTCGGGAGTTCAACGGCCCCTCCCTGCTCCCTGCCAGAATGTTTACTAATGCAGGCAACCATTGCTGCCAGAGTTCATGAGTGTAGCAATCCCGTCATGTTCAGAAGACACTGGTTCAAGCTGGTTCTTCCCAACCTCCGGCTCTTACGCTCTTTCTACCTCCTCTTTCATGACGGTTCCTGAGCCTTGGTGGGGAAGGGATGTGAGGCAGAGGCCCCATTTGTGGCTGAGCAGACACTTTCTCTCTGTTGAGTTTAGCCCATGGTAGATCGCTGGCCCTGCTGCCCACCGCTACTTACTCTGACCACTGAGGTGCTGGAACCTCATTCGCTAATTCACACCCACGCTCTGAAAGGCCAGTCTCAGAATTTTTTTTTTCTCAGTATGTAATGGAGGACACATTATTAGGCTGAATTAGTACTTGCCTGCCCGACCATCTCCTGAGCATCTGGCACAGCGATACTCACTTTCTGCAACATTCCTGCTTCAACAATGATCATCAACCCTCTTCCAGTTCACCAGGCACTTTCTGAGTGCCCGGGGGACTTAGAAAGAGGAAAGGCAGACAAAGCCTCCGTGTGACTGTAACTTGACAGACAGGCATTTTAAGCCTCCCCTCCGCTCTTTTTTCTCAATCCCCCTCTCTCCCAGTCTCTTTCTGACTATAAAGCCAACACAAAGATTGAGTGGAACTTCCATAAACAGAAGAGAAAATGAACTTGAGAAAAGACAAACCAACACCTGGGATTCTCTAGAGGGCTCACAAAGGAAATACGTTGGCTGGTCCACGCTGGCTTTGTTTGTTTGTTATTTCGTTTATTCTGAACCACCTGACACTTTAATGTTGTTTAAGATAAGACATGAACATGACTTGCCACCAGCCAGCAGACAGTGCTTACTGTTTAACTCAAGAAATGTGTCTGATGATAGAATTTGAAAGTCTTCCCAATCCTAGCAAGATCTGTATGCATACGAATGCATTCACAGCTTACTGT